ACAAAATCTTAATAATTTTGCTGAAAAGATGATATATAACTTAAAAATAAATATTACCTCTTATGCCAAATTCCGTAAATGCCTCTCGTAACTCATATGCGGACTTCAATAACTCGAAAGTCGAGTTCCATCGGGTAGGAGTGTCACCACATAGAAACTTCTTCGTTTGTAAGCCACAATCTTTCATCGCCTTCTTGAACTTGTTTATTCTTTGTGGTGACAATCTAATGTACCGTACCGCCTTTTGGATACACTCAACATGATAGTTTTGGTATTTTAGTCCATCCTTTACGATAAGGTTTAAAATGTGAGCCATACACCTAACTTGGAAATGCTTTCCACCCTCGTAAAGATTGGGCAACTTTCCTAACCAAAAAGTCCATTGCCTTGTCGTTTGTAGCGGCGTTGTCCAAGGTAATGGTCATGACATTTTTCATTCCCCATCCACGAATACAATCGAGTAATTCTCGGCCCATATCCTCTCCCTTATGGCTATCTATCTCCCTAAAGTTTATAATTCTCTTGTGCATCATCCAATTCTCATCTATGAAGTGAGCCATGACCACCATGTAAGTAGTCCTTTGACAAGAAGACATCCAAGTGTCCGTTGTCAAATGTATAGCAGTCTTTGGGTTACTTAAAAATTGAAGCATTTTGGTTCTTTCTTCTATGTAAAATTTGGAAACATTTCGGGATATTGTATGTCTAGATGGCAACACAACCTTAGCATTAAGTGCATTGGTGTATCCCACAAAAGCCTCGTTTTCAACGAACTTGAAAGGTAATTCGCCTACCACAAAAAGGTTAAGTAATGCTTTTTTGATCCTTGCATCATCGTGTTTCCATGTTTTAACACTAGTATCTCCATTTGACTCCTTTTTTAGATTCAATTTGGTTTGAGTTGGATCTTGTAGCTTATTCGGGTTTTTTTGACACCGATCTACATGTTTGAGTAAATTAGAAGTCCCGTTCCTTTCCACATCCGCCTTTAGTAGCCTTTCACACCATTGACATTTTCCATATCTTCTTTCCATACCATCATCCTCTTTTATCATAACTTTATCAAATGAGTCCCAACAAGAGGATGTTTCTTTGCCACTTGTTTGTTTTTTTTTTTTTTTTGTGATTTGTTTTCATTTTGCTATTTCTTCTTTTTCGTTTGTTAACATTTGATTGATCATCTTTTGCCGAATCATCAACTAAATTGATTTGTGGTGTATCCTCAATAAATTCCTCTTCATCAACATTCGTATCCTACATTACATATAGTCGCAACAAAAATGTTTTCACAATTAATCAACAAAATATAATGACATACTTTATGACTTTCAACAAAAATTAACAAAAGTCAACAACAAAAACATAACCTTAGTTTACATACAATCACAATAATTTTCTTTTACCAACAAATAACCTAAATATAACAACATACTTTATGACATTCAATAAAATTTAACAAAAATCAACAAAAAATCATAACCCTAGTTTACATGCAATCAAAACAAAAATGTTTTCACAATTAATCAACAAAATATAACGACATACTTTATAACTTTCAACAAATATTAACAAAATTCAACCAAAAAACATACCCTTACTTTACATACAATCACAATAATTTTTTTTTACCAACAAATAACCTAAATATAACAACATACTTTATGACATTCAATAAAATTTAACAAAAATCAACAAAAAATCATAACCCTAGTTTACATGCAATCAAAACACAAACTTTTTCACAATTAATCAACAAAATATAGAAACATACTTTATAACTTTCAATAAATATTAACAAAATTCAACCAAAAAACATACCCTTACTTTACATACAATCACAATAATTTTTTTTTACCAACAAATAACCTAAATATAACAACATACTTTATGACATTCAATAAAATTTAACAAAAATCAACAAAAAATCATAACCCTAGTTTACATGCAATCAAAACACAAACTTTTTCACAATTAATCAACAAAATATAACGACATACTTTATGACTTTCAACAAAAATTAACAAAAGTCAACAACAAAAACATAACCTTAGTTTACATACAATCACAATAATTTCTTTTTCCCAACAAATAACCTAAATATAACAACATACTTTATGACATTCAATAAAAATTAACAAAATTCAACAAAAAATCATAACCCTAGTTTACATGCAATCAAAACAAAAATGTTTTCACAATTAATCAACAAAATATAACGACATACTTTATAACTTTCAACAAATATTAACAAATTCAACCAAAAAACATACCCTTACTTTACATACAATCACAATAATTTTTTTTACCAACAAATAACCTAAATATAACAACATACTTTATGATATTCAATAAAATTTAACAAGAATCAACAAAAAATCATAACCCTAGTTTACATGCAATCAAAACACAAACTTTTTCACAATTAATCAACAAAATATAGCAACATACTTTATAACTTTCAACAAATATTAACAAAATTCAACCAAAAAAACATACCCTTACTTTACATACAATCACAATAAATTTTTTTTACCAACAAATAACCTAAATATAACAACATACTTTATGACATTCAATAAAAATTAACAAAAATCAACAAAAATTCATAACCCTAGTTTACATGCAATCAAAACACAAACTTTTTCACAATTAATCAACAAAATGTAGCAACATTCTTTATAATTTTCAACAAATATTAACAAAATTCAACCAAAAAACATAACCTTAGTTTACATATAATAACAATAATTTTGTTTTGACAAGTATTCAACTAAATATAACAATATTGTTTGTTATTTCAACAAAATTTAACAAAAAAAGAACCAAAAATCGTAACCCTTACTTGAATTTCATCATCATCAAGTGCAATCCAATTAGTGATCCCGGTTTTTGATTCCATTAATTGTGAATCGAGACTTGAGTGAATCGAGACTTGAGAGAAACGACACTTAAGAGTTGAGACTTGAGAGAAACGAATTGGCGAATTGCTACTTGCGACTTGAGGATACATAAATCAGAATCGACACTTGAGTTTCACAATCGGGCATCGACTACTGCTTGGCATCGACTAGACGACTACTGCTTGCTGCTTGCGATGCGATTCAGAATTTAAAAAAGACAAGGGCCGATTTGGGATTTGAGATGATCGACATCGAAGGAGGTTTTTTTTGGTTTGGAAATTATCGGCTATTACGTGTTATGGGAAAGGGAACGTCGCTTTTGCTATGGTATAATAAGGCCGGTAATTTTTATTTTTTTTTTACCATGTCCAACCGGTCCCGGACCCGATAAAAATCGGACCGAACCGGGAAAAAAACCGGACCGGACCGGATACAAAACTTAGAACCGAGAACCGGCCCGGAGGTCCAAAAAAACGGTCCGGTCCGGTTCACCGGTCCGGTCCGGGTCACCGGTCCAAATGCTCACCCCTAAATACAATGCTCTAATTGGCCCTCTTGATTGAGTTCTTTGAACCTGCAAAGCCAACACATTAAAGAAACATAGTAAAAACCTTTTTAGGAACAAACCTGATATAATAAAGCCTTCACCCAATATATTTATAAGATAAAAATACAAAAAGTTAAAAATGATGAAATCAATTACAAATAAGGATTAAAATAAAAACCTGTTAAGAAAGAGTCATTTGCATGAGGGATATTTGAATCAACATGTATTTTCTGATGGTTTCAAATTTTGAGTTATCCGAAATTCAAGGAAGGAGATAGAATTTGTTGAGAAATATAAGGATTCAAAACACAGGTTAAAATTTAATATTATTTTATTGATAACTACTTGTACTATTAGCTTAATGATTTGAACGTCTTAAAAAAATAATATTATTATATTCAATCTATTTTTAGAAATAGTGAGATTTCTTTTATAAGATAGTAAAGATATATATATATATATATATATATATATATATATATATATATATATATATATATATATATATATATATAGGGTTAGGTTAGGATTAAATATGAATTACAATTATTGTGTGATAGATTTGGACCATTGGATTATAATTCATAATGACTAAGATTGTGATGGTCTATCATAGTTACTATATCATACATCATATATTAATAATGTTTTTATTAGGAAAATTTTGCATATAAGGGCATTAAAGATATTTTTATTCATCACCAAGAAAGGAAGATGCTATTATTTAGGGAGTTATGATTCTATTTTTTTTTCAAAACCCTATGTGTTAAAAAAAATTGGAACAATGTTTCAGATGATATTACATGGATATGATTTAAAAAAAAAATTTAAATAAAATTCAAAATATTTGAGAAGTTCAAATTTATAAGAAAGGTAAGAAAAATATTGAATTATAAAAATTAAAGTGTTTTTTTTTCTCTTTTCAATTTAAAAAAATAATTTAGATAAATAACTAAAGAAAATTAATGAAACTTTAATTTAATAATTTTGAAATTAGAAGGAAAGTCCATTAATGAAATTGATATGCATTTATTATTAGATTTAAATAATATGTGTAATTAATAAAATAAAATAAAAACCATAAAATGTCATGTGGAATAAAAATTAATTTAAAATAACCATAAAATTACATGTTGCAAATTGAATAAGAATATGACATATGACAAACAGATCTTTTTTATTTATTAGGATATATATATATATATATATATATATATATATATATATATATATATATATATATATATATATATATATATATATATATAGGGGAAGGTTCATGCAAAAATGCAAACAATATGTGAAAATGCAGGAACCAATCAGATAATGCCACGTCATTATTCATGTTTTCTTCATTTGTTTACTTCAAATTATTAATAAAGGGTAAGAAAGTGATTAACATAAAAACGTGATTGAATAAGTTGTTCATATTAATAACCGCAAACAAAAACTGACATATTAATTTCAAATTAACTTCTTCAGTCTAATCGTGATGACAAAATCATCTGCATTAAAATCATTGATTGATTTCATTACGATATCAAATTGAAGAGATGTTTACTAAAGAATATGAACAGATTTGTTCTACTTATTTAATTGATAAAGCAATTGAATCTTCCAATGATTTAACTATCGGAACTTCAATATCAACATTAAACGATGGTGATAAAGGCAAGTTTTCAGTCATTATAATTACTATATTTGTGATTTTAATATTCAAAATTTATATTTCACTAACATTACTACACTATATTAAAAATTCAATAAATTTCTTTAAACAATGTTACTGAAACCTGCATTCGACCTTCAAAAGGAAGTTCAGGATCCACAAAAAAAAAAACATAATCGCATGTTTACATATACATATACATACTTATTTCAATATTAATCTTTCTGAATATTGGACAGGAAATCATGAATCGGAAGACTCATACAATGTTTTAACTATTGGACCTTCAAAAATAACATGCAACGATGGTGATAAAGGCAAGTTTTAATAAATTATAAGAAGTATATTTCTGATGTTATTATTCATTATTTAAATTTGACTTACATTACTAAACTATATTCAACATTACCAATAATTCTTTAAATGAAGAAACTAAATCTTACATTCAACCTTCTAAAGGAACTACAAGTTCGACAGCAAAGGAAAAGGATAAAGGCATGTTTACATACTTTATATTAAATAAATAATTATAAATATTTTTACTATAATTCAATATTAAGCTTTTTGAATATTGGACAGGAACATCTTATATAAATCAAGATGATTTGTACATCCACATGTTACTACTGATTTAATTCCTAGAAAAGGACAAATTGTGTGAAGTGTAAATGCAGGAATTGAAATGTATATAAATTATGTAAAAGCAGCTGGTTTTGGAATTAGATTAGGAACAGCAACAGATATGGAAATATATATAAAAAAATAAAAAATAAAAAACCATTGATACTCTTACATCCAAAAGTTTGGAAAAAAAAAAGGAAAGGAAATCATATTCTAAAGTCACAAGATGTATGGCTATGATTGGTTTTGATAGAAATGTTGCAACAAATACAATCACTATATATGCATTTAAAGAAGCACATAACCATCCACTTACATAATTTAATGAAGAAAGCATCTGCTCTCCACATCATCATCTTAGTATTTTTGATCAGGAACTAATTGTTAAAGCTTCAACTATCAACATTGTTGCCACAAAAGCACACAAGATAAGAGCTTCATTAAAGGGAGGATATGATAATTTTACAACAACATTTCAAAAAATTTTGGAGAGATTATACCAATATTGTTGGACCAAATGATGCTCAATGTGTTGTAGACGAGTTGATAATTCGCAAAGATAATTATCAAAATTTCCATTTTCAATATAAGTTGGATGATGATGTGCTAAATGCTATGTTTTGGGTTGATGAAACAGGAAAAGAAAACTACTCCAAGTTTTCTAATGTTATATCAATGGATGCAACATATAGAATAAACAGGTAAAATTTATATTTATTACATTACATTATACAATAAGGGATACATTTTACAAATATTTTCAGGTACAATATGATATTTGTTCCTTTTACTGCTATAAACAACCATGAAAAGACAATCAATGTTGGAGCAGGACTAATATCAGATGAAACAATTGAATCATACACTTGGTTATTAGAAGCTTTTTTGTCATCACATAAGAAGAAACCAACAATGATTATGTTAGATATGGATGCAACATTATCTTCTTCCATAGCAAAGGTGTTTCAAGGATGTACTCACAGATTATGTATGTGGCACATAATGTCAAAAATGCCATAAAGGTAACACATAGATTAATTTATTGAATTAAAAATAGCTTATGAAAATATACTAATAAAAACAAATTTTACACGACAGATTGAACCTGGTGTAGTTTCAAATTCAGATTTCAAGAAACGCATAAATCAACTAGTTTGGAATATGAATATTGAACCATCATAATTTGAGAACAAATGGGACTTGATGTTGCATGAATTTCATTTGAAGGATAATAAATGGTTAGCTGATATGCTCAACAAGAGAGACAAATGGATTCCCTCCTATTTCAGAGATATACAAATGTGTGGAATTATGAAGACTACATCTCAATCTGAAAGTTCAAATTCATTTTTCAATGTTTTCTCAAGTCCAACCAACTTACTTGTGAATTTTATGTTCAATTTTGACACTGCATTTTCAAAGCAATGTCATGAGCAAAAAATATTAGATATTGCATCAAGAGATACTTCTCCACAACTGTTATTTCCACATGAAAATTTGAAAATTGAAAAGCATGCATCATTGGTATACACACGAGAAGCATTCCTTAAAGTGCAGAAACAAATAAAAAATGCATTCTATCAGTGTTTTCAAAAAAATTCTGTTTTAATTGATGTCCATCAACAATGCACAATTGTCTACAAAGAAATCAAGTCAGGCAAATGACCAGAATTGAAGGTATGGAAATATGCTACTTAATGATTATTTTAATTAAACATTAGTTTGACTTTAAAATAATATTAATGTAATTACATTTTATTATTATCTTTCAGATTTCTTTTGACGCAAAAGATGAAACAATTGAATGTGAATGTTTGCATTCACATTTTTTGGAATCCTTTGTAGTCATGATTTTAGAGTTCTTATAGATTATGACATTACCATGATACCTGAAAAATACATTCTGGATAGATAGAGAAAGAACATAGTGGATATTGGTTTTCAAAAGATAAACCGAAAATGGAGAGTGTGCAGTACAGAAATTTCAAATCTCTTGCAGGATGCTACTTCTTTTTATGAGAAATGCATTGAATCAGTTATTCATGACAATGAAAAATTACAAGAATTGGTGAACTCTCTTCAACAATTAAGTGAAACTTGTGGAAAGGATGTTGCTTCTAGATCAAGTTCAATTCCAATAAAAGATGTTGTTGAAAATATCATTGGAGTTCTAATTTCAACTGATGTGAAAATCAAAGTACCAAGTGGGATAAAAACAAAAGGAAGTGGAAGGAGGAATCGAATCAAAAGTGCAGCAGAAAAAGCAATAGCTAAATCACTTAAACCAAAACGCACATGCAAAGGATGCAAGCAATTAGTCAACCATGATCTAAGAAATTGCCTAATAAATCCTTCAAATGTTCTTAAGCCTTTCAAAAAACAACAGTAACTTATATTATAATTTTAGTTTTGTATGTGCTTATGCTTTTCGATATTAAAACTCTTAGTATTAAAAGCTTGAAATGATTCTGAAGATTATTTTAATATGAATTATGAATAATGTAATATTTTACAATTTCACTTTCATATATAAAACCATATATGAATTTATTATAAGAAAAATAATACAAAGCACAAATAAAAAGTGCTTCAAATGACATTACAATTGTAGATATAATCGAAATATATGTTATGACTATTTCAAAAAATTTACACATATATATGCCGCAAATCTTCCGAAATATATGTTAAGACTATTTCAAATCATCAACTAAACATTCACCATCATTTTACTTAAAAAGATTAAATCTAATGCGAATGAAATAATGCAATATATATATTTATTAGTTTTAAAACTACAAACATTATGTTCTTCCTTAATATTGCATAATTACTTTTTGAAAAAAAATAACAATATATTAAAAAAATTGAATTATTTAATAATCCATAATTCTTTAATATTACATAAATCTTTAATAATGAAAAATTACTATTCCAATAAAATTAATATTTATGAAAAAAAAAAAAAAAATCTTTACACATATATATGTTGCATATCGCCTAAGAAATATGTTAACAATAACTCAATTAATCAACAACTCTTTCACAAATTAATCTCCTTTAATTAAATATATACATTTAAACAATATAATATATGATACTTTATTACCTCATAAAATCTTTCATATATTACTTAAATCTATTTAGAATTAATAATTAAAAAAAATACAAACACTCATAATTACAAAAATCAAATCGACTTAATTTCAATAAATACAAACAATCATTTCATATAAAAACCTATTCAACTAATATTAAATATACATTTTATATTTACAAAAATGAAAAAACAAATAAAAAATTAAAATTTACTTAAAATATAATGTAAAAACGGTAAATAATAACAAGACTGTGATCTAATCATTATATACAAAAAAAAAATTGTTTTTTAAAAAAAAAATCAACTTCAAAATAAAAAGAAACATATACCGATTCGTTTTTTAAAAACCAAAAAAAAAATCAAATTATAACAAGATAAGCATTATTATCTTGCATGTATAGATAACATTATTACCTAAACCTACAACCGCCGAATTAAGCTACAATCGTTCTTGAAGCAAATGATGATAGAAAATTAATTACCTCCTCTACTAACTACAATTTCTACCGCTATATATTTCTCCTCAACATCATAATAAACTTAAACAAAACTACAATTTCCAGTGATGGCTTCAGAATCGTCGATTTGGGAAATTCGCAACTCCTCGGCTTATCTTGATCTTTACGACCTATATGGTATATTCCTTATTGTTAAAATTTATAATATTAAAACTTATATAATCTTATTTTCAACCTTCATTCAGGATGGGAAAACAAAAAGTACTTCTCAATCATGCTAAACCATGGAGGTAGTTTCCTCTACTACCCAAATCGAGATTACTTTGGAGGAATCATTGACTATATAGACTTCATCGACGTTGAAACTTTCTCTACAGAGGTATTTCATACCATCTTAAGTTCGTTTGGTTATGATGTTGACAGAACATTTGCATACTCTTTAGTCTCATTTGCTCCATTAGACGTTGGTCTAAACAAGCTTGAAAGTTGGAACGATTTCTTGAACTTTGTCAAAAAAAGTTAAAACAGATGGTTTTTTTGTGTTCAACAAATTTATCTAGAGCATAATCAAACCATTGAAGAAAGTCTTAATATCACTTCTGCTCCAAATCAACTTTTCCTCTTTTACACAATTTAATACATATGTACACCAATCAAACTTATCTAACTTATATGACCGAGACAAATACGATAGAAGCTTCAAATTGCATGCACCTTGTTTGTTACATGATCCAAAACATGTACAAACAAGAATAATAAAATTAGCAACAAACACCATATCTTCTTCACAACGTTCTATTATCTTGTATTCAATATCATTTGGAGTAATTAAAGACAACGACTTCTTGAATTGATCTTTCCATATCTCATACCATTCCTCATTACCTCTTACATCAACACTATTTAACTGATCAACCCCCATAGGCAAACCTAACACCCTATTAACATCTTCCCTTGTAACCAAAATATTAGAAACCTCAGTTTTAATAACCATCTCTAAAGGATCAAAAGAATCAACAACAAAATAACATAATTTTGCTAGAATACTTTGAGTCTTCATGTCTAGCAATGATCCAAACCCCAAACTCCTCACACAATCTTTTTTATTATGATTCATTGAATTCACAACACCATATATAGAATGAAGAGAAACACAAGAATACAATGATTTTATTTTAGCACAATTCAACTCCATTTTTTTAACTTTCTTATCAGCTATCTTATCCACCCTCTTCACACTACTACTGGTACCATCCTCAAAACCAGAATCACTAAAAAAGTCTACAACAAAATAATCAATATATAAACCTTTTAAAATAATTTAAAAAAATTAATATAACAAAATCAATAAATACACAACAAAATAAATAAATAACATTATAGTTAAGTTTACCATGTTCGTAAACAATTCTTTTACTAAATTTTTTATCACTTATGTTAACCAACTTCCTGTTCTTTGTAATGCTCCAAACTTCAAAATCAGAATCACTTAAATAATCTAAATTATGTATAACAAAAAAAATATTAAAATCTAAATTAATAATTAATTTAAAGAATAACAAAATTAGGATAACTAACATTTTGTATCAGATGATTTTGATTAATCGAACCATGTTTTCTCTTTTTCATTGAACTATACACATACTAATAAACATTATTCCTTGGCTTTTTCTTCTTCCAAGAATTACTAGATGAAATGTCAATTGTCTTCTTCATAGAATTACTGGAATTAATCTCAATTGGATTCTCATTATCTAAAGTCTAAACATACAAGCAGAAAAAATCAAACCGAAAAAAATTCTAAAAATGTCATTTTGAAAAACATTAAAAACAAAACAAAATAACTTACTCTCCTTCTTAACTTCACCAGATCGAAATTCTTTTTCTTCTGATAGTTCATCGTCATCTATTTCGATAGGATGATCACGAGAATTAACCATAAAATCAACTTTATCCACATTCTCATCTAAATAATCCTTCTTTCTGGTAACCATTTTCTGTGATGCAATTGGAAATTTCTTCATGAATTTTGAATGCGAACTTAGCCTATTCCTATTAACTTTCGCATATAATAAAGCTTTAAACGCAAACATTATGTTGAATAATGTTTGAATACATAATCTATTAATAGAGAAAACTTCAAAAAGAAAAACTCAGAATAAGTTTTGAAATAACAAAAACGAAGATCTTCGATCAATTAAGAATAAACGGTTACATCAATTTGAAAACCCACTAATCAACCTTAACTGACGGTTAAATTCTTAAAAGATAACTACATGGATAAATTACATTTATAACCTTTTAAATAAAAAAAATTATAAAAAACAACAAATTATGTGTGAAATAAAAAAATAACTACTCTTATACACATGCTTATTTCCTATTGGTTCTTATCATTTTCACTTCTTAATCTCATTTGTACACGAACCCACTTTTATATATATATATATATATATATATATATATATATATATATATATATATATATATATATATATATATATATATGGTTAGGATTAAATATAAATTACAATTATTGTGTGACTGTAAGACTAGATTTGGACCATTGGATTATAATTCTTAATGGCTAAGATTGTGATGGTCTACCATAGTTACTATGTCATACATCACATATTAATAATGCTTTTATTAGGAAAATTTTGCATATAAGGGCATTATAGACATTTTTATTCATCACCAAGAAAGGAAGATGCTATTATTTAGGGAGTTACGATTCTATTTTTTTTCAAAAGCATTGTGTTAAAAAATTAGAATGATGTTTCAGATGATATAGTCATGAACACGTATAGGTCTTTCATTCTTAAAGAGTCTAACTGCAATCTTGTGATTGATTGAGAATTGACATTCTTAAATAATACACTTGTATAAATATTACAATAATAACAAGTTGTATCAAAATAACAATAATTTTTATTGCAAATTTTACAAATTTATTTGAGAATAATGTAAAAAGTAATTAAAAAAATCATAATTTCACAAAGGAAAGAGTATTCTATAAGAATAGGTGCATTCTTTGTATTCTTTATATCATATTTTACAAAAATGGGAAAGAATTTGAAACAATGGTTAAGAAAGAGAATAAATAACATAAAACAAGAAAATATACAACATTTTAAAGAATATACACAACCTTTTATACTACATTTGTCAAGAATCTATCATCATTTTTGAAGAATTTACAAAAAGTTATGGTATATAGTACATTCTTTAAGAATTTGTCTTCATTATTGAAGAATTTCATCATCATTCTTGAAGAATTTGTCATCATTTTTAAAGAATCTCCTTTTTTCTTTTTGATGGTTTTCCCATTCCTCTATCTTTACATCTCCATGTTTAAACCTAAACACACAAAAATACATAAGATATCATATGATGAAAAATAGCTCAAGAACATTTGAGAGAATGAAAAATATTAAAAAAATCTTCCACTACAAATAAACACATTCAAATTACCTTGTAAACAGGAAAAAACCTGAAACCCCTCTTATTTCCCGATTCTATAGTTGTCTTATTTCCCAATTCTATAGTTGTAGAGTGTTGCTTAATTTGAAATGGAAGGATTTATTAAGAAGGATGTTGTTACTTTTGAAATATATGTGAATTATAGGAGGCTGACATGTTCATGAAGGTACTCCAAACCTTTTTATGCTTAAATACATGTGTTCAATAATACTTCCCACTCTAAACTTGAAGGAAGTGCATTGAATCCAGTGTTTTTCTGAGGTTTATAAATCGATTTGGATTATGCTTTATAAAATCAAAGAAAGTGAATTACTCTTATGGGCATACATACCTCTGATTGGATATAAATGTTCTAAGTAACCACCGTTATTGTAACGCCCGTAGATTAGGGCTATTTAATTTAAGGACAATAAGCGTCAAAAATGACTTTTTGATGGAAGATTATTTTGAAGGAATTAACTAAGTTGTAGTATATGTTACAAGGTAAAAAGTCTGATAGTCTGAGGTTGGTTAGGGGAGGAGGAGCGGTGGCGGCGCCTACGCCCGCCATGATGAGGATTACAGATGACTGCCTAATCAAGGCGGAGGCTCCTGCGGTGAAGAGCCGCGCATTTCATGTGACTACTGAGGAGGCCTGAGCAGCGCCATACATTGTTACTGGTATGTGATCGATTTATGTCTTATTTATTCTTTTTGTCATGCTTATGCTATTATGATCTTGCATAGGGACCTTCTTGGTCAATGACTTACCGGATCATGTTCTTTTTTATTCGGTGGCTATCTAATCATTCGTATCTCTTGCACTCATCAAGAAGTTTCGGGATGATCCAGGGACCTTGGATTCCCCACTTGAGGTGGAGATTGCGGATGACCACACTGTGAGTGTTGCGAGGGTATATCGGAGGAGCATTCTAAATGTGTCCGGGGAGAGGTTTTCTATCGATTTGGTTTCAATTCCTTTGCAGGGATTGAAGGTGATCATCAGGATGGATTGGTTGGGGCCCAATGGGGCCATGATAGACTGCGAGAAACAGTTGGTGAGAGTTCGAACCCCAAGTGGGGGAGAACTGGATATTCATGGAGATAGAGCCTCACGTGGGCCAGCTCCATGTTTGGCTGCGAGGGCTAGGAGACTTCTTAGTAGGGTTGTCCTGGGTTCTTGGCTTATGTTTTAGACATGAGGGTTGAGGCCACACCAGAGCTGAGCAGTGTTCTGATTGAGCGAGATTTTCCTGATGTATGTCTTGAAGAGTTGCTAGGGGTGCCTTCGGTGAGGCAAGTAGATTTTTGTTTTGATTTAGTGCTTGGTGCAGCTCCGATAGCCAAGGCACCGTATCGTCTAGCTCTGCCTGAGATGCAGGAGTTGTCTACGCAGCTTTAGGATGTAACGCCCGTAGATCAGGGTTAGTCAATTTAGAGACAATAAGCGTTAAAAATAATTTTTTGATAGAAGATTATTTACGATGAATAATCCTAACTAAGTTGTAGTATATGTTACAAGGTTTCCGTGCATATAAAGAACGCCAAAATCCGAGTTATAACGAAGAAGCTATGACTTCTTAAAGTTTTGCGACAGAACCGGCACAACACTGAATGACGTAAAAAGTGAATTTACGTTAGAGTGATATTTAGCCTTAGCAATCTAAACGAGAATCGAAGATCTCGTTGTTAGTAGCGAAACGACGAAAAGTTAGGCAAGAACGGACGTCGGACGAAGAAGTTATGAATTTATAACGAAATTTTCTGTCCCGACCTATTAAAAATAAATAATAAAAATAAAAGTCAAAATTAGCCGACGGAGTCTAAACGAAATTCGAAGAGCGTAGTCTCACCTTCGCGTGGATATAAAGAACGTCGAAAACTGAGTTCATATGAAGAAGATATGAATTTCCGAAGTTTATTAAATATTTTGTATTTAATTTTAATTAGAAAAATCCGGCATTATCCGAAGGAGTCACTGATCTGATCCGAAGTACGCCACGCGTACAGCGAAGCATGACGAACCTCGTAACAAGTGGCTTCGGATGACGCATGCCATGA